ACATAATTACCTCTTGTGGTCTGAAAAAATCTCAACAGGGCTGATGAGTGTATTGATACTAGCTTCTTCGCAGTAGAAATATACTTTGTACTGGACAAATTATAAGAGAAAAGAAGACCTATATAACGAAAAGTGTTCATTTGGGAAATTGAATGGCCACTCATGACCAAAGTAACTGGTGTGATGGCGTAACCTTATGAAACCTTATGATCATTTATGTCTAAGGACTCCTGGGAACAGTAAAGAGCAAAAGCATTCAATAGGCTACTTAGCCCAATATGTGACAGAGATAATAATAAGGCATTGTCAGCATAAAACAGATTAGAAGTAGAAATTCGAAACAGGTGGGGTGGGTGAAAACGTTTACCAGAAAGGTGACTGTCTGTATCATTTATACAGAGGTTTTAAAGGTAAGGGGCCAAATGTCAATCTTGCCAAACACCTCTTTTTATTTTAATCTTTTGGTCAACTGACCATTGTTCCCACATCTCAACCATGCAGTATTGTTTTGATATATTAATGTGAACTCATAAGCAATATATTTTCCAGATGTAAATAATTGTTCGGGAGGGAAACTGACATGGTATAGACCAATCTTGTCAGACCTTGGAAGCTAAGTAGGGTTGGTACTTGGAAGGGAGACCACCAAGGAAAACTCTGCAGAGAAAGGCAATGGCAAACCACCTCTGCTTCTCACTCATCATGAAAGCCCCTTGCTGGGATTGCCATAAGTTGGCTGCTGCTTGACAACACTTTACAAACATAAATAAGTTTTCACAATAGTAATACCAAGGAGCATCATTATTGTTCTCATTGTTCATTTAAAAAATCCAGTCTCGATTACAACAGTAGTTGCTGCAATTATAATAAAAGAAAGTTTGCAGCAATGTTCTAGAAAAGGTAATGCAGAATTCATCAATATTACATACCGATAAAGGTATTACCTAACCAGAGAATGGGGAGAGGGCTATGTTATTAAGTATACCCTTATTTAACTGGAAAAATATTGAATGATGGCAGTAGAAAGTGCCATCAAGTTGCAACTGACTTATGATGACCCCTTAAGGGTTTTCAAGGCAAGAGAATAACAGAGGTGGTTTGCCATTGCCTGCCTCTGCGTAGCAAACCCTAGACTTCCTTGGTGATCTCCCCCATCCAAGTACTAACCAGGGCCAACCCTGCTTAGCCTCAGAGATCTGACAAGATCAGGCTAGCCTTGGCCATCCAGGTCATGGCAAAATCAATCTAATCTTTCAGAACATTTTAACATTTAAGGTATTTTAGCCTGTTATCAAATACATTTTAGTAATCTACTGCATAAGAATTTATCAACAGCTAAAGGATGCAATTATGCCAACTGCAAACATAGCCATGGAAGTGAGGAAGTCACTCTCTAACCTAACATTAACCTTTGAAAAACAATCTTGGGTTGGGTCCATATCAACTTTCTTGTAACTTTTCATTACTTTTATTTATTTATTTTGTCCTTTTCTGTTCTGGAGCACTCTTGGGAGTTGCACGATTCTCTCCCTCAAGAAATGTGATATTTGTGTAATTGTACACATGCACCTACTAAGAAATTTGATTTAGTTCCCCTATCAACATAGTTATTCCTTGCCATATTTTAGCCATCAACATAGTTAATCCTAGGCATTCTAATTTGCCAAAGTAACCAACACAGTTCTTCATTTATAAAAGATGTGTAGTTTTCTAACATAATTCCATCCCCCGAGTATGTTGAATTGGTTTGAAGAAACCTTTATACTAAAAAACAAATAAACAACCCTCTTGGCTTTTTATAGTTTAATGAATAATTGCTAGTGGTCTAGTATGCCACATGACTAATACTTTCAACAAGTCCCAAAAGTACTATAAAATGCATATAACATCCTTATCTTCATATGCCACAAAGCTTTGGAGCTGTGTATTACATTAGACCGGCCTTTACAAACTGCTTGAATGCCACAGTGTTACATCTTCCGTAGATGAGGGACTCAGCAGGAATAACTCCTTTCCCCTCGCTTGAATGTAATCCCCATTCATCCATGGGTCAAAGAGAAAGATTCCTACTGAGTCTTCCACTTTACTTAAATAAACCATCTTTTATATTTTATTCAAAACAGCAGATATACACACTGATTTGACTATTATCATCACTGTGTTTTCAACGTGTTCCAAAGTTAGAATCAATGAATTAGAATGAATAGATTAAAAGTCAATTGTGCTGTTGGGAATTTTAGTTTAGTTCTATGATCGCTTTGCCCCAGTGACTTGTGGCTATCTGCAAAGGGCAGAACAGTGCAACTGCAAACTCTTTATGTTAGACATATACTCTGCAAAGATTGTCCCCCCCCCATGTACTTTGCAAAAATACCTTATCTGCGACCTGCTTCCTATTGAAGATTATATAAAAACTACAGTCACAGTACACTCCAGTGGTACTATATTCTCAATAGAGACGGTGGTTCAAGTTAAGCTTGCAAGATCAATATGGGTATTATTATAATACATAGTTACATTCTTTGAATTACTAGACTCCCTGGGGTCTGTCTGGAGTGGAGGCAGTTGTTTAGTATTCCCAAACAGAAAATCAGATGATGAATGCAACAAATTGGTAGGAGTCCAGTTATTATTGCCACATGTCACTTTCAGTTGTGAAGGTTATATAGCAATGAAACAAAACAGCCTCCCTGTTCTATCAGTTTTGAAAATATGCATGTTATCTGAGAGACAGGAGCAACCAATAGATCACATATCACTTTTGGCTAGGTCTAACACAGGCGTAACCCAAAGCCTCAATGTACAAGAACTATGGTTCTGTCACAGTATCTCAAACTATTCTCAAATGCTGTTCTCTTCAGCTCTGTATTATGAAAAGTATTCAAATTCTGGCTTCTGTGAGCAATGTTCCCTCTAAGCTGTCGAGTCTTGTGAGCAGAAATTCTACTTTGTGAGCTACTGGCATTAAAATTGTGAGCAGGCAATTTGGCTACTGCATAAATTAGTTTGCTCTGTAGCCATCCCTTCCTGAGCTAAGACAAAAATGTGTGAGCCGGAGGCTAAAAAAATGTGAGTTAGCTCACACTAACTCAGCTTAGAGGGAACACTGGCTGGGAGTAAGAGGCTCTGTTTTCCAAAAAGGAGGGAGATGGCATAGCTTTCCCCACAAAGCAGTAGGCTATATGGCCACCCTGTCACTGCTGAAAGAAGTTCAGTAATGGAGTTACCACAACCTATGCCTGTTCCCAGCTACCAACTGAACTGCTCCGAGTTTGCATTTTAATTGCTGAGGGGCTAGAGGCAGCTCCGAAAAACTGAATATAAACTATCTTATCTTCTGAAAAGAAGGATTACTGTTGTTTCTAAACTAGATTCTTATACGGGCAACCAGGAAAACACCACCACCAAAGATGTTATCTTTCCCAAATATGCCAAATTCCCAATATGTAACAGTTGTACACATGCCCTTGCACACACACAAGTGCATTTCCTCCCTGGGCCATGCCTTCTTCATCCACCACTGCTATTCCCTGTGTAGGTATAATTATTTATTTACTTCATTTATACTATGCCTTTCTCCCCTATGGAGACCCAAAGCAGCCTACATTGTTCTCCTCTTCTCCATTTTATCCTCACAACAACCCTGCAAGGTAGTTTAGGCTGAGAGCTCCTTGTATCCTCTCTAAAGTAAAACCTTAGTGAACATCTCCCCTACAGTGAAAAAATATCCACATCTGCACCTTTCCCATACATTACACAGAAAGGATTAGAGAGACAATGGATGTGTGAGTTGGTGTGGCAGTTAGTGCTAAAGTAGTACTGGGGAGACCAGAGTTGAAATCTTCAGTCAACAATTAAATTCACTAGGCGGCTTTGGGCCAGGCAGTATTTCTCTCAGCCTAATCAACTTTACCAGGGTATTTGGAAAGATAAAACGAAGGAGGAAAGAGTTCAATGTGCTGCGTTCAGGGGAAAGGGCAGTTCAGGATACAAAGGCCATAAGCCAGCAGAGGGAGTCCTTTTCCTGCTCTCTAACCCCCTCCCCACTTCTCCACTGTGAAGCAGCCACAGTCTTTTATTTGCATTCTGACTTAGGGCAAGTCTGCATTGGCTCTTCCCTCCTTGTTTTACCAAACCCACCTTGGAACAGAAAGTCCCCTCTGCATTGCATGCGGCTTTCACTTTCTTTAATCATAGGGTTTTATGGTACCTTCTACATAGATCCTACATAGGCAGGAGCTGCGGTGGCTCAAGTGGTTAAGACGCTGAACTGCAGGCTGTGGAAGGTCGGTAGTTCAGCAGCTTGCGAGTGTGCCATGACGGGCTCCCGTCTCTAGGTCCAGCTCCTGCCAACCTAGCAGTTCGAAAGCAAGAAATTGCAAGTAGATAAATAGGTACCACTTCAGTGGGAAGGTAACAGCGCTCAGTGCGCCTTGGTGTTTAGTCATGCCAGCCACATGACCACAGAAATGTCTTCGGGCAGCGCTGGCTCTTCGGCTTTGAAACGGAGATGAGCACAGCAACCCTAGAGTCGGATTCGACTGGCTTTCGAGCAAGGAAACCTTTACCTTTTTACACAGATTTATGGTCATTCAGGCAGGCAGTACCACGTTGCCCCAGGGTATTTGAATGCGGTTTTGAGCTGCACCTTTTCCTCAGTGTTGAGAAAATGTGAAGCGAATCGCCCCTCTTTTATCAGCCCGTTGGGGAAATTCGGGCCCAGGGAGAAGAGCGCGCTCCACACACCCACACTCTCTTTCGACCTGTTGAGCGCTCCCTGCAGGACCGGGCCGGGCGAGCGAGGCAGAAGCCGCGTGTGAAGGCAGCCCGCGGGCTCCGCGCTGAGCGATTCTTGCGCGCCCCCTTCCTCAGCCACCGTGAGAGCCCAGGCGGGTCTGCAGTTCCCAAAGACCTACAGTGGCAGAAGGCACGGCGGGCGGGCGGGCAGCCTGCTCGCGCCGGGCTCCTCCTGCTGCTTCGCGTCCGGGCGCGCCCTTTACCTTCCACGCCTGCTCCAGGTGGAAGTCTCGAGCTCGCAAGAAGCGCACCAGGAAGGTGTCCGAGAGGGCCAGCGGCCACGGCTGGAGACGCTCCTCGTCGGCTCGGCGCCGGAGTTCAGCCACGGCGCCTCTCACAACGGGCGCCTCGTCGGGCAGCAGGTTGAGGTGGTTCCCCGGTAGGGTCGGCGGCTCCTCTGGGCTCATGGCAGAGAGTGCTGTTGCCGCCGCCGCGGGCCCCGGAGAAGGAGAGGAAAGGTCGGGGGTCCCGCCGCGACACCCGCTTGACTGGAGCGCGGACAGAGCTGGCCTCCTCTCGGGCCCTCCTGCCGCGCTGCGTCATGTAACAGAAGAAAGAGCAGCAACCGGCCCGACCAGACCTACCACCGAGCCTGCGACGCTGCCAGAGGCACCTCGGAACAACGCCGGGCCCGCACCTCCCCATTGGCACGCAGTCAGCCAGCCGGTCAACAAGTCCTCCGGCCAGCCTGAACGCCGCCTGCGCCTCCCCGGACTGGGGTGGTCCCGGCCGGGACTGACGTCACGAGGGAAGCGCTGTGGGTGGGGAAGGGACACCCTCCACCGGGCGAGGAGAGGCTGAGACCCTCGAGTTCGCCACAGATTCACGGCCTCACACCTAGATCACTGCTTGTGGACTAAACCACTTGATCCCGGGGTAGGAGGGGAGCTGTTCTTCAGTAGGGCTGCACATTCAGGCCTACCGAGGGATTTAACCTGAGCTGGGAATCGCCAGGATTTATGCCACCCACCTTTTGATATCAACACATCCCATAGACATTGTCAGCATAATCTTCCCCTATACTCTTGTTGTTGTTCAGTCGCACAGTCGAGTCCGACTCTTCGTGACCCCATGGACCAGATCACCCCAGGTCACCCCTATACTCTCCTTTGTGTCAAATGTTCAATTGTTAACTTCTTGGGGACAGGCATCTGTTGACTTCCTGTTAGTCTTGCGCAGCAACAGGCACACTGATGGTAGGATATCAATATATATTTAAATCAGCAAAGCCTCAGCTCTGTGACATAGTAATAATAATAATAATAAATGAGTGCAGCTGAGCATGTATAAAGCGGCTTTCCCTTACCAGCTCACACCCTTAGCACAGCAAAGCTATCTTGCATCTGGACTCATGAAGGGTTTTCTAGAGAAAGGATTCTGAACCTGAGCTCTGGACGCTTCCTTTATAGAAGTAAAGTACCAGCTGTGAGTCTTCATTTATCATAATCACACTATCCCACTTCCAATCAAGACCCACCCACCTTTCCCATTCTTATCTGAAATAGATGAGAACATAAGATGTAATGTATCCATCTCAGACCGCATGCGTGGCCATTTCGCCACGCGATCAGGCGACGCGATCGAGCTTCGCTCTCAGTAATAATGGGACAAGCGGATCCTAGCCGGCACCTATTGGCAGGCTAGGCTCCCGGCCGAGAGCCTACCAGTCCAACACTCTGTGTCACACAGTGGCCAAAAGTACCAGGTGCCACCAGGAGGTCCATCCAGTGGGGCCAGTAGTCCAGAAACCCTCCCACTGTTGCCCCCTCCCCAAGCACCAAGAATACAGATTCCAAACTATTAGTGATTTCTAATCTGAAACAGCAGAGTGTAATACTGAGTATATGGCATTGTTTAACCCTTCTGCCTTTATCAAATATACCTTTCAATAATTCACCATCCTGCATAGGATGAGTATGGATTACATAGGGTACATCGGCTCTCAAAATAAGGTTTGCAAATCCTAAAGGTTTTCTGATTTTTAGAAGAAAAGAAGAAGAGATTGGATTTATAACCCGCTGTTCCCTTGGAGTCTCAGAGCAGTTCCCTTTCCCTCCCCACAACAGACACCCTATGAGGTAGGTGGGGCTGAGAGAGCTCTGAGAGAACTGCTCTTTCAAGGAAAGCTCTTGTCAGAATTATGGATTGCCCAAGGTCATCCAGCAGCTGCAAGTGGAGGAGTGGGGAATCAAACCCGGTCCTCCCAGATTAGAGTCGGCATACTTAACCACTACACCAAACTGGCTTTTTAGTGTTCAGTCCCCTCTTGAGCAGGGCATGTTAGGGAGTGTGCGGTGCTGTTTTTCAATTTCTTCTTAAACTGCTGGTCTGGAACACTTTTAGCAAACAAAGCATTTAGCAACTTTTGCGTTACACTCATATGTTTAGTATTTTTCTAATTTAAGAGGCTACTGATTCAAGAATTGCTATGTTCAGGGTAAAAATAGGCTGAGGAAAAGATCAAATAAAAGTTCAAACTGCCAGTACCATGTTTTTCATTATGCCACAGCTGTGCGTTTTATGATTTTTTAAAACTGGGTGCTCAATCTGGCCATCTTTAGTTTATACCCCTGGGAGTCATACTCAAAATTCTCTGCTGCCTTTGCAACTTGTCAGGATCTCTGCTGCACAAGCAACCACATGTTGAAGATGCTAATTAATTCAGGTTTCCTGGCATTTGCAACAACCTCTGAAAAGCAGAGAAGCAAATTTGCAACAAATTCTATATAGCAATATATATGTCTTTGTATCTGTTCCTTTTACATGGTTTCCTATCTGTGGGGCATAATGATGTAAAACAGGGGTACAGCCCGTGAGCTGGAAGTGGCCTGTCCAGGATTCTTATCCTGCCTGTAAGCAACTGGTGTGTGAGAGAGAAGGCAAGAGGCTGCTGGGGGGGTGGGGGTGAGGTGTGTGTAGTCAAGCTGTCAAGAAGTAGAAAGGAAATGGCTAGGTGGTGGGGCTAATAGGGCGAAGTAAAATAGTAGGGGAATGGCAGCAAAAGTGGAGTAAGAGGTGTGGGTTTTTCCCCTTCCCCTTCCTTTGACTGCAGCTCAGTGAAGATTGGCAAAGCCATTACATGGGGGGTGGGGGTGGAGCCAAGTAACTGGTGTTGCCACTGCTGCACCAACCAGCTTCCTGTTTTTCAAATGGTGACTGTGAGGGGAGTTAGTGAGAGCAGGTGTGTGGTGCAGTGGTTTGCCAACAAAGGGGCAGGGCCGGCAGGGGAGAGAGGAGGAGGAGGGCCAGCGCATGGATTGGGAGGCAACTGGGCTGTCTTGTGCATGCTATTCTGAGGTGAAAGACGTCTCCGCCTCAGAAGCAAGTGGAGAAGTAAAGGGAAAAAGGGGTGCTGCTGTTACATTTATGTCAGATCCGGCTTTCATAACTAATGAGTTTGACACCTCTGAATTGTAAGACTTCCGATAAAGTGGTTTTCATGTGTGGCATTGGTGAGAAGATATCAATCCATTGAGACATTCTCTTCTGTAACGGCTGAAATATAGATACCTTCTTTAAAGGGCTGCTTTGCACAATGTGACTATATTTTGGTGGTAAACTCACAAGCATAGCCCAGTGTGAAAAGACCAGTAATTGCAACATCTTGGAAACTGATTTGCAGGCTGTGGTAACTGGAAGTTATGCTGGTCATAGGAATTTCACAAGAACAAAAGGTGAAATAAGAGGTGATGCAATTGTTTACCAAGACTTGTAAAAATACACATATAAATCACCATAAGCACACTAGAAAAGGCATTTATTGGTTCAGTAACAAGAGATAGATGAATGTGGATGATCATATAAATGGTCTTCTATACTTTATTAATATCGATGTTTTGAAAGCCAGCACTGCATAGTTCACTTTTATTTCAGTAAATAACATAATTGTTGTATCATTCATGTACATCTAATTAAACACTGCATTAATACACCAAACCATAAATATTTACGCTGTTATCAAAGTCATTCTTCAGCCACTGACTTTAAGAAACTATGAGTGCAAATCTAAACAGAGTTATGCCCTTCTAAACTCATTAACTTCAGTGTTAAGTTCATTGCTAAAGGGGTTAACTGTGTCTAGGTTGTAGCAGTGCTAAGAAGGCAACTGTGCATAGGATGTCACTGTGCAATTAAAGGAACACTTTCCTGGGAATAAACCCTATTGACTAGACCTGAGAAGGCTTCCTAATAGACTGGTCTCTCTTAGAACAGGAAGGGTTTGTTTGTTTTAAATCCCAGGAAAATGAGGCAGAACTGTCATTTGTGAAGTCTTGTATTTGAAATGGAACAATGGCTACTAATAGGTACCAGAAAAACATCTACTCCTGCTTCATTGACTATGCTAAAGCCTTTGACTGTGTGGATCACAACAAACTATGGCAGGTCCTTAAAGAGATGGGAGTACCAGACCACCTCACATGTCTCTTGAGAAACCTGTATAAGGGCCAAGAAGCGACAGTTAGAACCGGATATGGAACAACTGATTAGTTTAGCATAGGAAAAGGAGTACAACAAGGATGTATATAATCCAAGTCTATGCCCCAATCACTGATGCAGAAGAGGCCAAAATGGACTGGTTCTATGAAGACCTACAACACCTCCTAGAACTAACACCAAAAAATGATGTCCTCATCATCATAGGGGACTGGAATGCTAAAGTAGGAAGTCAAAAGGTAACCGGAATAACAGACAAATTTGGCCTTGGAAAGCAAAATGAAGCAGGGCAAAGGTTAACAGAGCTTTGTCAAGAGAATACACTGGTCATAGCGAACACCCTTTTCCAACAACCTAAGAGGCGACTCTACACATGGACATCACCAGATGGGCAACACCGAAATCAGATTGACTATATAATTTGCAGTCAAAGATGGAGAAGCTCTATCCAGTCAGAAAAAAAAAGACCTGGAGCTGACTGTGGTTCAGATCATGAGCTACTCATTGCAAAATTCAGACTTAAACTAAAGAAAACTGGGAACTGCAAGAAGATCAAATCAGTCAATCCTAAAAGAAATCAACCCTGACTGTTCCCTGGAAGGCCAGATGATGAAACTGAAGCTCAAATACTTTGGCCATCAAATGAGAAGGGAGCACTCACTGGAGAAGACCCTGATGCTGGGGAAGATTGAAGGTCAAAGAAGACGGGGATGGCAAAGGATGAGATGGTTAGACAGTGTCATAGATGCAACAAACATGAAATTGAACAAACTTCAGAGGATGGCGGAAGACAGGAAGGTCTGGCGTGATCTGGTCCATGGGGTTGCGAAGAGTCGGACTTGACTGTGCAACTGAACAACAACAACAAATATCCTTCAGGTTGGAAGGATGAATTTTTCAGACCATTTGAAAAATATGGGTTATTAGTTTTCTTTAACTGCCTTCCAGCCTATTCACAGCTTCATTCCCAATATTCATCTACCTTAGCTAGTTGTATTAAAATTGTTCCTCTATCATACCAA